GACGAAGATATTCCCCCTCGAGTTCCCTCGAGTTTTATTGTGATCCTAGAGAGTGAGAGATGGAGAATGTTCAGGTCAATGAAGTTCACGCTGCTTGTCAGAGAAAATGGTTCCCCCTCCTCCCGACAAACGTTGCTCTGTTGTTACTGGGTGTTCCAAAACGGCAAGAGTTAGAGTAGACTATCTCGTGTATTCTGGTCGAGAAGCAATGGTTTTACTTTTTTCGTCAGAGACCGCAAGCAGGCCCCGCCGTAGGCAGGGGGGGGGGGGGGGGGGGGGTGGTTGCAGAGAGTGCGGACACGAACCTCCCAAATTCCAAAAGGTCCACTTCTTAAAACCTATGATTGCACAAAATCTTTCCTAATTATCACAAAATGCTATAGCATGCATTGCATTATATATTTGCCAGCTTATCTAACCGTTGATTTTTAATAATGTGGTATGAAATTTGTTAGAAATTGATCGTCTCCGGTGATTGCAGATTGATCTATATACTATGAAGAATGTTATCTATAGGCCTGCAGATGTACAGGACATAATAACGTTACGGTAATTTTTCAGGTCCCAAAAACACCCAAATTAATGAAAATTTAAATGAAATATTCATGAATTATGTGTTTGAGAAATCTATTATGTAAAACCATCAATATGCTTGTTCCTTTTCTCACAAACCCCCTCGAGACCTTTGCCTCTGGACCACCAAATTTCAAAAAGTCCATTTTTTAAAACCTATTATTTAACTAAAATCGTTCCTAATTCTCACGAAATGCTATAGTATGCCTTACATTTTTTCCCCGCTCTTCTACCCGTTGATTTTTAATAGTGTGCTACGAAATTTGTTGGAAATTATCAGCTCCAGTGATCGTAGGCCTACAGATGTAAAGGACACAAAAAATTATAATTTCACAGTGGTGGATTCAAGGGGGGAGAGCTTCCTAAAATTATAAAAGAAATGGAGAAAAAAGAAAAATAATAATTAAAGTTTGTCTGAGAGTGCCATTTCCGGCCACTTTGAGGTGCCATAATCATAAATTTTCTTACCTCAGCCTCAACCATGGTGGGGCTGAGGTGGTATAGACCATCTGTCTGTGCAAGTTTCTCCCTTCCACCCCACCCTCTATTTCTCCTGCTACTGTAGGTCCCTAGACAATACTCAAATAAATGAAAATTTAAATAGGATATTACAAATTATGGATTTTAGAAATCCATTAAAAAAGGCCCTCAAAATGCTAATTTGTCAGAGCTTCCAGAAGATTCGCCCTACCCTCGCAGGGATCCCTAGGCAGTCGCCCATCGTAAGGCCCACTTCGGTTGCAAAACGCACCTGGGGCCATCGAAAATCCTGCCTCCGGGCCTGAGTATGATTCTACGACCGTAGGATTCTACGATGTGCTTCCCGACGACAAGAGATGGAGCAGACTCTGTCTGCGAGAAAGATACGGTACGCGTTAACTGTCGGGGAAATGTTAACTTGTTTAATATTTTCATCGGGAAATAATTTTCCCGACAAATTACTGTGTGTTCTCTGATGGTAAGGTGGAGCAGACGCCCTTCTTTATTCTCGTCGGACAATTTACACGTTACTTGTCGCCTAGAAGCTGAGTCGTCAGAGAAAACTTTTTTCCCGATTAATTCTGCTGTGATACCTAGGCTGATCTAAGCATTATCTAATGCTAAAATATTTTAGGTCAGTCGGTTACATGCGAATATCGTATTTTAAAGTCAATTTAATTGACAACATAACATAATGACGTAATGATGACATGTATAATAATACAGGGACTCCCAGCACATTTCACCATGATTTCACAATACAATTGCTTGGCAACGGAAGAACACAACGTCATACGCTTATACGAACACCAGATGACAAAGCCTCCTAAACTAACAACAAACCTATTAGCGTACTTACGCAAATATGTCAACAACATTGGACCCTGTTTTCGTGATAAGATCTATTAAAACCACTGACGGGGTTGTCATTCCCAGTTAATGATAATGTCACCGCCATGCTATGTATTGCTAGTGAGGATAAATACGTTTTGCACCACCCTACAGCGGGCCTAATGAATGCGAAGTGGGGGCGTCCCACCGGTTTTCTCCGATACAGACGGTCTCTGATAACTTCAACGGTGGGATACGTATTCGACGCACCGAGCGCAAACAGCTGCGTAAGTTGTCTATATGACAGAGAGCTATCTTCTTATTAATTAGGCATGTAGGCCCTAGACTCTACTTGGTGCTATCTAACTAGCTTGTTATAAAACCATATTTTCTCTACCTGAGAAGAATAGTGACGATACAACATTTTGAAATCAGTGATATATATTTTAACGTCCTTAACAGGAGGAAATATATGTAGGCCTAATATAGGCTTAATTGAAATAACAGTAAAACAAATTAAGCGTTTACTTCATTACCGTATAGATTTTATAAACGGAACGAAGTAGGAACAGGGAGATAGATCTAATGCAAGTAGGCCTACATTGCGTTGATAATTAAAATATATTTGGGTTTAGATATAGGCTACCTTCACCCAACTTCCTTCAGTAATTCACAGATCGAAGAAGTTAGTTGTCAAATAATTTACAGACGTGTAACTACACAAATTTAATTTGCTGCCAGGAGTTGATGGCCTAGCTAGGCCTATATATAGATAATAGGATTTTTATTTTCTAATCTTCGTTAAGTGGCGAAGAATGTGTTTTCTCGGTTTGATTTTCACTTCGGAAAGTCTATAAAATTTGTATACAATTAAAACAAACAGTTTATATTGGACTTAAACTGCCGTATATCTTTAACACTTAGAATTAAAGTGTATAATCAACTTGGTGAACGTAGGGCAGGTAGACAAAGTAGGGGTTAATAAACTAAAATTTTGGCGTGAGAATATTACAGACTGTCAGACTAGGTAAAACGGTAAAAATGCCTCTAATTGTACAAAGATAGAAAATGACACAAGTAGGGTGGCGACCGCCGGGATGCAAAGTAACAAATGCAGGAAAGAGCCAAATCAAGGGAAATGAACCAACAGGTGAGTTCTAAGGTGAGATGTTAAATACCTTGATTCGATTTCACAAGAAACCTATGACATGTAAGTATTCACCTTACCTGAACTATGTTGTCGACACACGACAGCGACAAGTGATCTAAAGTCGTGATTTAGTACGCTTACTGCCGTTAGTCGACAGATGGGATGAGTCGCATGTGGTGACATCTAGTAGCCTATCAGTCCCATACGTATTGAGGTCACTGGGAAATATGTAATTGCAATGATTATTGGTATTTGATATTAAACAAATGAAAATTGATTGTGTTCCTGTTGGATAATAGGTTACAATGTGTTGACATAAAAATACAAAGAGGAAGTGAGTAAGAGAGGGAAGGAAGAGAGCGAGGGAGAAAGAGTGTGTGGATTAGATTTTAGCAATGAAAGGAAAGGTACTCGGAAAAATTCTATTTGACTGTTCCGAGCAGATGTGTCTAATGTTCATAAATTATTAATAAACAATATATTGTACTTATTAATTATTGTTTTGATTGTCTATAATTATAATGCTGATGATGATGATTTATTAAGCTATATAACGTCAACATATAGATTTATTATTATTATTAATATTAATTGAATTATCATTATTATTGCTATCGTTTATTATTAATTCGTAAAAAATATATTTATACAATTATTATTATTATTATTATTATTACTATTATTATTAATTATTATACATATTGACCAAAATAAAAGGCCTAGGGCCTATAGTAGAATAATATGGGGTCCACAGAGTTAATCATTCGTGCAATATCGATACTATATACCGTAATGTATTATTAATCAATTTGAAAAGATTGATTTAATAGGGTTGGTTTAATTGGTCAATCGCCTGTGACATGGTCTTTATTACCTAAATGTATTTAGCTATGTATACCTATTAATAATTACTCTCACAACTAGATGTGCTTAATGATAATTCTTGCAGGTAAACAACATATTTCACCTATGTTGAAGTCCCGCGATCATCCAGTCTGTTCTCCTTCACCTTGACAAAACAAAAACTTATTGCCGTCGTGTAGCGGCAGTAGCCAATCAGCGAGCGTCAAGTGACGTAAATTAGCTATCTCCCTCCCATCGTCTCCTCAAACCATTCAACCGACACGTGTCAATCTCACTTTTACGTGTCATGTTTAGTGAGTGATGTGTAGTAATGAATAATTGATAATATAGTTAAAAGATCCACGGCCTCCAGTGTACACTCTAAATGATCTCCAATTATAAGTGACTGGTGTTGGGATCCCGTGTCATCATTTGGTTGCCGGCGAGCCACTGTTGTTGAACCGCACACCTCCACAACTACAAACGTTCATTTAACAATTATCCGCCTCGCCGAAAAGACGTTCATCCGAGATACTATCAAACCGGCATTATAATTTTAACCATTTAAAAAACTTGTCCTCGTGTTTTATCCCAACATGGTTGGATCACACGCAGCTGAATGCTCTTCTACACCATTTTCTATTCTTGATATTTTAGGTAAAAATCCAGCTGAGACTGTTTGTAATAGGACTAGAACAGAGACGAGAGTGTCTTCTGAGGTCGAGCCAGTACAAGGTGGACTCAACCAATTCACGTATGCTCCAATTTTGAAAACGTCTACCCACGTGAACACAGCCTTAGATACGGATAGCGTGCACAGTTTACAGCATAGTTTCATTTCAAATAGTAAGGACTCTGAATTATCCGAAGAAATTCAAGTTGACGATTTGGGTCCCAGAACAGGGTCCGATACAACATCAGCGTTCCATTCTGATTCTCCAATTGATGATCGAGTTTCTGGTATTATCGACGAGGACGACGAGAATTCCATTAACAAAGCAATCGAGTCGGAAAGTGAAGGTGAGAAACTTAAGAATTGTTTAGGCTTGGACTAATATAATGATAAAATACTGTAAAATAATTATATTATAAAAGTATTCTCATAGACCCTATTTGTGTGACATTTGGTTTTATATAAAGTTTGATCCTTATTAAACTACAATACCTACCTGTTACTGATACCTGCCTAGTATACGAGCAACATGTTTTTATTATCTAATGTGAAATTCATCAACAACGCGAACTATTTTCTAAGCTAAAGATTGCCATATTACAAGTCTTGTTGCATCATTCTTGTCGAATTTGTCACTTAATGTAAATTAATATCTCAATAATGTGTAATAATACAAGTTGTTTATCACTTAATGTAAATTAATATTTCGATAATGTGTAATAATACAAGTTGTTTTCCCGCTAATCTCCCCACTAATGACAGCTGTCTGATATGCTTTCGGATTTTTATAGAAATTAAGTGTGAACGCGAACTTAAATTGTTTTATCTCTCTGAAAATAGATCATGTGTAAAATATTACCGTTCAGAATCTAGGATTCTTCTCACATTATTATGAAAGAAATTTGTCAAATTTTGTATGTTATCAGTATAGACTGAGACAGGCCTAAGCCTATCACCCTGTCCTGGTTCAGTGTCGATTCCCGATTGATAATGTTTATGGACGGCTTTTCTCTCCGTATGGGGTAATTATTACTTCACTCTTTAGAAGGCCTACCAACGAACGATATCGACTTGTGTATCGGTACACCGGTATCTGATATCACAGCGTACGTTCACCTTGGGTCTTCTTTTAATTCACTTGAGTCAATTGATGATCCATTAATACACCTGCAGCCGTACGGTACTCAAAATAAATATATAAGAAGACCCTGGTAACTAAAACTCTTAGGCCTAAATTAATTATTTATTAATTTAATAATAATAATAAATAAATAATAATAATAAATAAACTGAAAAACAAGAGAATAAAGTATCAACTCTAGGTCCACGTTTGCCAGATAGCAATAAAATCCAATCTCTTCCCAATCCAATCCCTTACCAATCCAATCCCTTACCATTATGGCTATTCCTCCATGTGAACCGACTTTTGCATTAATTGTTGACTAGTTAATTTTATTATATTTACGTGTGCATTCTGCTACTAAGACATATTTTATATACATCGTCAAAACTCGTTCTTTCTTGACACACATTCATAGAGCTTAGATGATGCATAAAGTCTAAAAATAATCGTATATAATATGGCTATCATGTGACCACTTACTGTTGTTAACAAAGTTTCAGTCGAATCCAGATTAACCGAGAAATATTAAGTGTCCTCATTGATGGTGAAAGATCGATGCACGAAAATAATTCACTTTTAATTTTTGAAATTTAATCTTTAACTACAATTATTTTGCAATCAGTACCGGATAA